ATAGTTTAAAATCTCCGCTGAGACTTCTCACATGGGGTACCGCTGGTGGTATACGTCTCTTTATCTTAAAGATATGGAGAAATTGACACACACAAATTCAGATAACATTCTTCTTTAGTCATGACATGTAAATTACATAAACTGACCTCGTGCTTATACGATTAATAATAAATGATTCCTTCAGCTGTTAATGTATATAAATATGATCAAAACATGAGTTGGTATGTTTTATACGATGTGTTGAAGGCAGAGCGATATACAGTGGAGAACAGAGACACTACATGTAAATGTTAATGGTTGAGATTTGACAAGGGCACCTTGTTGAAGGGTGGGGATGGAGTGTAGATGATAGATAGGTATTATTTAAAAACAGGGAACATATTTACATATCGTCATGGACGTTATCAGATGGATTCCTGTAAATGAGAATTGACCCTGTGCTTCTCAAACGGAGCATATTTTGGAAGCAAGACTGAATTGTTTCAAAAGTCTTCAGAGAATTACATGGAATGTGTTTGTAATATCTTTGCATTAAAAATGCAAAACAAATAAATTCATCTAAAACGTCGTACACTTGCTCTTCATTAACTTTTATAAAGGGTGGTGGTGTGGTTAAAATGTTTGCTCATCACGGCGAAGGCCTGGGTTCAATTCCCCATATGGGTGAAGCCCATTTCTGGTGTTCCCCGCCGTGATGTTGCTGGAACATTGCTAAAATCGGCGTAAAACCATAATCACTCGCTCACACAAATTTAGCGAATTTGTTTTTGTTCACGTAATAAACCAAGTATCGGTCTGGTGAAAGAAAGAAAAAATGTTAATCGGTTGGTTATGCATGCCTGGTGACTTGGTCGACTGCTTGTCATCGTATCCTGATGGTGGTAATATGAACCACGTGTTTTACATTAATATTGCTGACTTTCTAGGTCATACTGATCGTGACGGTATACGTTTATGGCCAGCATATACATTTATTCTTTTTTGCGATCGTCAGTATTGGCCTGCCTTAAAGGTAAATTTAGCCTGATACGTCAGTTATTAGATCACATATTAGTTACGAAACAACGTGTATATTACAAGTTGTCTTGATATCAATTTGTTTCCCTTTGAAGTACACAAACTGGCACCTTTCTTAGTAACGTAGTTCGAACAACAACCTATTTCTATTATACAGCGGCATGATGGGAAATCCGAAAGTGACGCAGGTCTTGGACCATCACCACACTAGTGACACCACGGTAGGGTCAAATGTGTCAAAACCACGACGTGTCAGTGAAATACAAGGTGAGGCTGATTGTAGAGCTTTTTAGTATAAGCACATTCACTTTGTTTACAAACCAAGGATCATAGTCTTTACGAATCGGAGATTTGAACACGGGTGCCTGAAATTACTGATCCGACCGTCACACCCCACAGTTGAGAGAGTGAGTGACCGAACGGACAAAGGTTTTGTCAGTATTGCAGCCACTGGACATGGGCTTCACACATTGGGCACTTTGGGGGAATCGAACCCAGACCTTTGGTTTGGTGGAGCCAACTCGTTGCCCACTAGGCTAACCGACCTACCCTTCACACATCTAAGTAGGTGTTGGTATGACAAGAATCCGTACAAGTGTATACATTTACAAATATTTACCTTCTCAACATCTGCCAGAAAACGGCCGGTTGAACAGAACGTTCAAAACTCCACCGCAATGGAGTTGGAGACTTGGAAACTTATTCTGGCTAAGGTACGGACTGGTGATTATACTTACGTCTTGTTAAATTAACCCTAAGGAGCACGATAAGTGTGCCCGACTTAAGATTTATGTTGTACAAGACGTGGATTGAGTGACGTGCAATAGGTACCGTCTTGGAGGAGAGGAGAGTGAAGTGGAGGTCTCGAAAAGGGGCCATATTGTGCAATGGGCACTTCGGCAAACCAATTCTACATCTGTTCATTTTCAACTCGTAATCTTTCCCATGTCGCAGTACTCAAGATGCTCTAAAAAGTTAATTTTCCTCATCAGTAGATTAGCAATTTCCCGTGTTGGGAGGATTCTGGGACTGTTAACTCGTGAGTGTGCTTCACTTTATCAATAATTCTTGATTACCTCCCAAAATCTGAAGTATGACGCGAGTCACTTACACGGCGAATGAAATGAGAATATATGCTCTTGGGTGTGCCCGTGGCTTCGAGAACGACTTCATCCGTAATTACTGTACGGTCGTGTCTACATAACATATTGCTCCGACCGGAAGCACCGCGTGACACTTCCGGTATTTCGTCCTCCGTGATTCTCACGTCGACCTGACAAAACAGAAAAAGATCTCGTTTTGGGGAAATGTATTTGCGCTGTTGGGTGATTTGAAGGAACAGGATGAACTATCATGGCGAATTATATCTTACAATTCTGTTCACAGAAATACGTTTTCTAATGATATTTCTTACTTGCATTGACACATAGGCGTTTACATTACCTGTCTTTTTCTGAAGTAAGCTGGTTCGTATCAAACCCAAGAATACCCGGAAGAAGATAGAAAAGTTTTAACCAAACTAAACAAACTCTTTGTAAGTTCCGGGTTATCACCCAATGCTTGTTGTACGTGATGACTTAATAATGCACCGGGTGTTCAGGTTCGATGAACTTGAGGAACGGATAACCGGATAACTGATTTGTCTTTACCTAACTCATTGTTTAAAAGCTGCCATCATTTGTTTGCTAACAAACGTCTATGATGATTATTATTATTGTTGTCATTATTATTGTATGATGATAACTATTTACAACACTCTGACTCTGGATACCCGACTAGAAACTTATGTCCAAGCCTGACAACGAATGAGGATTCAAGCTAAGACCTGTATTGCCATGTTCCATTGACATTGGCACCACAACCATTGCACCTGGTGACCAGTGAATGTATATCACTCAAAAGAAGATCTCTAGATTGACTATTGTCATGAAAATAATGGTTGTACTTTAACTTCTCTTGAGATGTATATGTGTACAGTGTATCCTCCTCGTGTATCTTGCGTGATGGGTATCGAACATGGGTTCGATATATTTAACCTATTACATGGGTGGACCACTGGTCGAGTGCATGAGTGGACCACTGGTCGAAGGCAACATACTTCGCTGTTCAGGCCTGGATTTCTCGAAACAAACTTAAGTTTTTACTCAAATCTCAAACTGAGTTTCACAATTTGAAACAGCTGAATTTTTAACTCAACTGCATTTTCAAAATATAAAAGCCCAAACAACTTAAGTAATCTACCCACCAAACTCAAATTGTCTTCTATAGTTTGAGTTTAATACCAATTTCAGTTCATTCTGTGGAATGCATATTCCTGCGTTTTCTCAGATTTGAGTAAAAACTCGAACTTAAGTCAAAACTCAGACTTAAGTTTGTTTCGAGAAATCGGGGCCTGGTCTTCGTTAGCTGTGGAAGAATCCTTTCATCTAGATTTAGAATTCACTCATAAATTATATATGACAAAAGAATACAAACGTTATCAAAGCGGTACAAACCTGAAAACATGGTAACTGAAACTATGGTAATCGTGTCATATGCATCACTAGTAAATAACTCTTTCTTGTCTGGACATGGAACGCAACAATATTTGGAGGTAAATTATACAGTTCTTCTCTTGAAATCCTACAATAGAATTATTTTGCAAAAACTCACAATTTATGATATTCACTGAATTAAAACTAAATGTTTCATTGATAATATGCATGAACGAAAACAAGTATGTATTTCTACCCAAGTCCGCCTGTCTCACAAACAAACATGTTGTTTCTATCCGTCATCACAATGCTGCAAATATCTCCTGACGCGTACAGATTCAGTTATGGCACTCTCCTCAAACTCCCTCCAAACTCAAATGTAATTTCAACCTTACCCCGCTCCTCAAACCTAATCAAGCCCTCTCCGCTTGCGATCCTACTTACAAAATTCTCAATTTGTTGAACAAGAAGTCGGAGATGAACTCTAAACCCACAGGTGCAGATAGCATTGAGATACATCGACTACAAGGTTTCAGGAAGGCTTGGCGTAGGAATATCTAGCCGGATAGCGCACCGTAGGGAACCACGTCCGCGAAAATGATTTGCCACTTGCTTTTCTTCAACGACGCGCTATCGCTCGTGTCATCTTCAAACCTCGACTTTTTATCTCCCCAAATACACCCCTCCCTGCGTGAGAATAATAAATTAGAATCAACCATTTAGACTTTTTGGTCCCCGCTGCGTCGTTCTAATGACGTATCCAACTGCACGTTGATAACATTCGGTGTCGGTTTCGTGTCAATTTGTTACAATAACCGGTCCCTCGGAAACATGAGGATTCGCTTGTCTAAGAAGCTCCTTACAACGTGTGGCAACATGCAGAGTAGATAGACAGAAAATACACGGGTTTCGAGTCCGTATCTTAACAACAGATACCACGCACAAGTCGTTACGTTTGTGTAAGTACAATCCCGTGCGGCGTTGTTTCAACTAATCAAACACGAGCGACTTTTTGCTCATTTGAGATCCATTATCACTTTCCCCATAAATCACCCTTTGGGAGAATTTTTGCATCATTCATTGTGAAACGATAATGCAGACTTTGGAGACATTTTTTTTTACCAGATAACGCTAAACTGTATATAATTATGTATGTAAATATGTACTCCAAAATCCCTCTTTCGTTTCACTTCTGTTTGTTTGGAAAAAACACATTTCCTTCTGTCAAATATGATGGTAGATTCAGCACATCGAAACTCGTTACACGGCAAATATTTGGATGATGTTGAGAGATACCTAAAATCTGTATACTGATAACGCATGTGAAATTTATTAATAGTTCTTTGAAAAAGATGATACTTTGTGAATCTTTGATGTATTGTCATTATCGGCGTTCTTCGGTCTGCCGTCTCTCACAGTAACACCTTCGTCAGCTATGGGGTCTACCGAGCGTGGACAGCCTCCAGTTATGAGTGGAATTGTCACCGCTCCTTCTGTTTTGGTGTTTTGGTCTGCAGCGATGCAGACTATGGCTTCCATGATTTTTTCTACATCGCGATTCCCACAGGTTCGGCGATTTGCATGTGGTGTGCTGTAATAATGAATAAATTAGCATTTTTAGTCCTGTCTGAACAAACATGGCTATAACACGGACTGGATGCGGTTGTACAAAGCGATCTTAGCACTAAGGTGAACGTATCTCCCATACCTTAACATAGACTTAAGGTAGTCTTAGCGCTAAGGTTGTTTTGTACAACGGCACCCAGGTCAATAGGACAGTCTGTTAAATGCCTACGCTGTACTGAAGTCAGATGGGTTTGTGTTTGACGACACTGACCGTCATCTACACGGGTCCGAAAAGTTTTGGTTAAATCATTAACATGTGATATTTGCCATGATCAAAATCACTGGAGCTGTAAAAATGTTTGACTCCCCCAACACCATGAGATTATAGAAAATTATACTTCTTAAATTTCTAAATGACTCTCAAACCCATCCAACAGCTGAATAGTTCAATAACTTTTCAGGAGCCTTTAGCCTCTAGAGAGTCCGGTCAGAATCCGTCTTCAGCAGTCCATGCTTGTCCCACGTGAAGGTCCGGATGGGAATCGGGTCGGCCAGGCTCGCTAAAATGGATAAAGCACGTCACCACTTGTTTGATGAAGTCATTAAGATATTAAGATTAAATATATTTTAATGGCTGTGTAGTAACGGATAGTAAACAGTCTAAATGTGTTTAAAAGTTCTTCTCATTGCTCGAATGTTAAAGAAATAGGTACATGTACGAGATGTCCATGAAAATATATTTAAAATAAAAAAGTTTCATTTTGCTCATTTCCCCTTCAAATATTTTTAATTTATGACAAAATATACATGAGTCCTTACATGTAGATATTCTCAAAGTAACCCAATCAATATGAAGCGGTTTGATCTCCGATCTAAGGGAGGCAACTCAAAACACCGAGTATTGATCCGCCCCAGTAACTGTTTGTGCAATGTGATTTATTCGATCGTTAAGTACACGGAATCCGCTCCACGCCCCTTCTTGAAAACAAGACATTTGTACATCTACGTCCTTGCACGTCTCCACAATACCAGTCAGGCGGGGACTGGAAGCGTGCGAAGTCATCTGCTTCTCAAACCTTTTCCTGAACGTTTTAACTTGCACGGAAACCTCGTGAAAAAGCACACAGCGCGATAAGTTCTCAGCAGGGGACAATTAGATTTATTCTCAGTTTCTACGATAAAATCCATTCCAACATCGCCCGTCCCCGCTCGAGTCATGTCGACAGAAAACCCCAGCTAAGAAACTTCAGGTCGGGAGATAAACTTTCCTGTTCCCGTTGGGACTGGATTAATCACTGCTTCGCGCGCAGTTATACTCGCTTTGACATCACGCATACTGGATTTATCGCTGAAATAGCGCGGCTTCATTAGGGAGGGGTCAAGTCAGTAAAGTATGTCACACAGCTAGATTTGTCAGTATTTACAGTTACAGAGCTGTCGGATCTGTGTTCCTGGATGTCTAACATCGTCTAAGTGAGATGAATGATACGTGGGCCATGTTCTTGAATGCTTCCTGGGTATTTTCTCTGTTATCATCCGTGAAATAGGTTAACGCCACTGAACGAGTGAGTGAATGTGGTTTTATGCCGTTTTAGCATTGGTCCAGCCAGGTAAGGCAGATGACAAGGTCGCATCCTAACTAAATAAAGAAGATTCATCCATGAAACATCTTGCCTATACCGTTAGTTACAAACTTACAAACTTATAAAACACCATTGACATGGTTCTTAACACCACCGATGCCATTTGATAATGGAAAAATATACCACTTCAATTGTATTTCATATTCCCGGACAGAGGTGAATGTGGACATGGTCAACCGCTACATTGTTAGGTCAGCTACGGTCAATGCACCGGCCACTAGCAGAGCGCCTGTACATACAAACTTGAGAGCAGATGGCTGGACACGGGGGGACACCAGAAATGGGCTTCAGTGTGTCCACTGGGGAATCGAACCCGGTATTCCACGTCGGGTCCACTTGGCCACCCTACCGCCTCTTTCCTTGAACGACCGACTGTTTGAGCGAACACGTATTCTCATGTAACCTTCAAGTATTTACATTTATCAACGGAATCAAGCTTAAACATCGCCTTACAGGTAAATCTCGTTTCAGCTGTTATTTATAGGTAATTATATGGCTCTAGGACAAGGTGGTAGTTACAGCGTTTACTTGTCACAGTGAAGGCCGGACTCGATTCCAACTATGCTAATTAAATCTCGTTTAGAAGACACTCAGCAATACCAGAGCTATATGACGGCGATCTGTCAATAATCGAGTCTGGGTCAAACAAACCAGTGATTGATATTACATGCACCGTCCCACACTGTCAGGTTACCACGACAACCAAATTAATTTGGCAGACCACCGCTTCGATATTGTAAAGTCGTTTCATACGACAGACATTAGGCTGACATCATGTCTCTGAAATGAACATATTTTCAGAAAGAACGTCATAAATTATATTCATAGAATATAATAAATAGTAGTCCTGGGACTTCATTTTCCGATATTTTAGAACTTCCTGGAACTGTGATACTCGAGGCTTGCCGCATATTCTAGACTTGCATGGGCTGCAGTGGGTATGTATGTTTCAGAGTCTGTGTGACAATCGTTTCCGTGATGCCAGTACATGTTTTCGTTTTGAGTTTCATACAGATTATTCAATTAAAAGGTGGACCAAAAATGTTAATCATGACATTTATGTATGTTCTGTTTTGGATCGAATCCTGGTTGTGTTTCTTGGTTTGCTCAGCGCTATGAAAATTTGAGGAGATAGTTGATGCCGAAAACTGTGCTCATGTCAAAGGAAATTACTTGAGTGTGGTAGTGAGTGAGTGAGTGAATAAAGTTTGACTACGTTTGTGTCAAATGAGTTATGGCAATTTTCCAAGATATTATTACATGTGTCCGTGTTCTGATAAGTGTACATATCCATCTCAAGAAATCATGGCATTTACTGTGGCAATATCAAAGCTTAGACCTCTTTATGTCGTGAAGTAAAGTGTTCGTTGTTAAAATATATCTCTTCAATAAAACTACTTGCTGTACGGGTAATTCCAATATTGTTCATAAAATGATTATAGGCTCTTAACACGTAAATACGATATCATAGAATATTGCTGACTGCGCCATCGGGATAATTGCCATAATTTACGTCAAGGTCATCAGGGCGCATTACTCTAATGACATTACTACTAATTGGGAGTTCCTTCCCTTTGCTAATATTTTAACCACTCGGTCTTTCCGTCTGGATCTATTTGCATCCTAATCTGTATTGTATCGTTCCTTGGAAAATAATGTAGAGATTTAGTTTTGTATTTTAACGGAAAGTTTAACAGCCACACACCCTGATGTCATTTACAGATGTGTTTTTTTTATATACAAAGAAAACATAATACTACTTCTGCACGTACCAAATACGTAATAAACAGGATCAAGATTATGTACCAATTTTTTTTAAATTGTGAAAAACAACATTAATTTGAAAAAATGGAACGGAAATAGCGTGAACTGAATAGAATTTAAACTCCTTGATCAGTTTTGAACGACACTACGCCCGTATGTAAAGGTTGATAAAACCCCACTAGTCAACAGCAGAATGTTTATTTTTTTGTGAAAGTGGAATCTAAATACATCATAGGAATATCTACATTTATCAGCAGCCATAAAAAGCCCGAAAATTCTTCATTTGGTTCCCACTTGGCCATTCATGTAACTCGACACCACAAGAAGTAGCAGTACTCATCCGATTTAAGCAAAAAGTCAACAATCACCATTTGTGTAGGAGAAATATTTGTCAATTCGTGTTTACACGTCGCCGTAATCGTTATCTTAAAGAAAGCAAGTTGTCACTTGAACGCAACCATATCCCCCGTACACAAGTTCTCACGCTTAGCGCCCATTAAAGCTACACGTAAGTAAACACGCTCTCTTTCGTAAATAGTTTATATTGCTCTTGTAAAAATAATATCTTCGTAGAGAGAATTTGGAAAATAAGCAAAACGCTCGTACCCATAGCCCCTGATTTGCCAGTTGTTAGGACCTCGTTCTACCCCTATCATAACATCGTTCTGCCTGCACGTACTGTTAGACCCAAAATATTCAACAAAATCGTATTATTGTTATTTTTTGTCACTCCACGAGAGTCCCTCCACTGTCACTTCAATACAAGATCCGGTTACCTCCCTTCCATTATCTCGCCAAGCAGGACTTGTCAAAATTGCAAATTTGACATCTTGGCACTGAAGATTGTAATCGCAGAGGGATATTTCCAGTGTGGCACGGACTGTGGGGTGGGTGTGAGTGGTGGGGGTGGGGAATGGGTGGGGCTGAGCGAAAGATGGATTGTTGTATGTCAAGGAAGCTAAAATTTCTGTTAAATTACATGTGTATCTACATGTATATCATTTTAGTGAAAAGAAACCCATTTAAAATGTCTTTGAATATAAATTTATTATTCACGATTAATTATATCATGTAAATGCGTTATTGATAGGAATATGGTAAAGGGCTGTAGTTTAACGCCGATTGGAACACTATTTTACTTATATCACATGCACACTGGTAGGGAACTTGGTTACAGTGAGAGCGGAGTCTTTGTGATTTTTGCGACGGAAACTTTGCAATATGTCACAGGGTCTTTGTGATTTTAGCATCAGCAATGGAAGGGTAAGGTACGATAAATGACCTGTACGCCTACAAAATCAATGTTACAGGAGAGTTGAATTCACATTTACTTACATTAGGCTTCCTTGAGCTGCGCAATATAACCGGTTTACCGGCATTATACCCTACTTCCATCAGTAACAAGTAAATAATATGATGTTCAGAAAGCTACTGATAATCATGTAAAACCATTAATTGTCACGAAATTAATCCATTTTGATAAATAATCGGTATATTGTGACAAATGACCCCAAATAGAAGTGTAAATAATACAAAGTGTTCCGATTAGTGTTTATCACCTTTCATCATAAAGCATGATTTACTGACCAGATTGGACGAATCGTACCCCTTCTACTCCATTTTGTGATTGGGAATTATCTGTGACAGTGAAAGAAATTTCCGTTACATCAATTTCATAATCACAAAGTTTCTGTGACATAATACCAATTCATAGAAATTGATATGTACGCTTTTTTCACTGATAAAACAGCACATGCTTTTTGATTAAAGGTGATAAACTCTAATCGGAACACTTTGTATTATTTTTACACTTCTTTATGGGATCATTTGTCACACGGTTCTGACAAGGGCCGCTTTAGGTCCACTAAAATGACGCACTATAAACAAAAACTTTTGAGTTTGTTGTGAAACATATCACAGTTTGTTCTTAACTTGATATTTTTCTCTTTCAGGTTGTACAGTTAACGCTACAATCATGTCGGTGGCATGGATGACACTTCCTCACATGAAAAGCCTGTTTTGTAAATATCTTGGTTCTTGTTGAATATCGAGGATCTTGTCGAATAAGATAAGATATTTATTACATAGCATTCCATGAAGGAACTGTGACAATGTTC